GATCTGAGTTGCCACTAGCACAAACGGACAACCAACATTTCGTTACATTTGTCAAAGAATGTCTTCAACCGAGGTACGCTGGGGTAAGTCGAAATACTCTTCGTTCTGATACAATAGAATATTTTTTAAATGCAAAGAAAACATTGATTGCCGATTTAGAAAAATATGGGAGTGTAATATCTTTAACTTCGGATTTATGGGAAGGAATTAATAAAAGAGGTTATATGACTGCAACTGCACACTATATAGACCCACTTTGGATCATGCATAAAAAAATAATTGCTTTTAAAATTATTGAGTACCCGCACAATGCTCCCAATATATTTAGTGCTATTATGAACGTTATTAGAAAATATAAATGCGAGAGTAAAATTCGTTCTTTTACGTTCGACAACGCTAATGTAAATAAGCCTGTTATCGTGAAATTGCAAAGAGTACTTCAACCTGAATTTGGTGGTTTTTTATTTCATATTCGATGTGTATGTCATATTTTAAATTTAATAGTACAAGATGGTTTAAAACATGTTAAGGATGAAATTCAACGAATTAGAGATGCACTAATTTATATTACTATTTCACCTAGTAGAAAACAAGCATTTGAGGACTTTTGTGCCGAACATGGGGTGTCGCATTCAAAAACTTTTATTAGTGACGTAGCGCATAGATGGAACTCCACATATTTATTATTAAAATCATGTGAAGGTTTCGAACATTTAATTACTGAATTTTATAACAGTAGGAATTTTAGAGACGACGAGGAAACTGTTTTGATTGAGTCCGATTGGATTTTAGTTACTAAAATTAAACATTTTTTGAAAAGTTTTTATGATGCTACAAATATTTTGTCTGGTGTTTATTATCCTACTAGTTGTATGGTCCTTCAACGTCTTTATCTAGTTGCTAGGGCTTTTGATATACTTAAAAATGACCCCGATTTTAGTTCAGTTATAAATGCCATGGAATTAAAGTTTAGAAAATATTGGGAAGACTTGCCCATGTTATTTCCGTTAGCATGCATCATGGACCCCCAATATAATTTATCTGGTACTAAATTTATAATTGAGCGAATGTCAGAATCTTTAACTTTTAACATACCTATTACCTATAGGAATTTGGAAGCAACTTTATCTGAAATGTATGTAATATATGCTTCACGAATGGGTACACAAGTTACTCGTGTACCCTTCGGCTCTACAAGTACTCCTCCCACTAATTTAGGAGATGACGACGCTGAAATTTTAAATTTATTTGAAGGTATGAACTCATATAGGTATGGTCAAATTGGAAATGCATATGATTCCTCCAGTCATAGTAGTTTGTCTTCTACTGCATGTACTAGTGAAAATGCGTTGCCTGCTGAATTACTTGATTACTTTAATCATAATTGGCCTAGTAACAATGCATTAAGGAAAAATTCAGAAGAAGTAGTTGACTTCTGGCGAAAGTATGAACGCCGATGGCCAATAGTTTCTGCAATGGCAAAACATCTACTAACACCTCCGGTTAGCATTGTAGTTTCGGAATCTGCTTTTAGTGCAGGATCTAGGGTTCTCTGATGTTAGGAATCGACTAAAAGAAGATGTTTTGGAAGCATTAATGTGCGTGAAGGACTGGCAAAACGCTCATTTTCGACTGCAAAATAAATATGCCGAAATTGCATGTAGTCAAGTAAGTGATATTTAGTTTAATCATATTTATGATGAATTTTTATTTTAATACCTTTATAATTTTTTAAAAAAAATTGTACACGTAACAAATTGTTCGAGTACAATTTTTAACTCCGCCTACTCGAAATAAGAACTATTGAAGTAACCGGTCCCAAGCCCGGATAAAGGAGAAGGGTTTATATTTTATTATTTTTATTATTTTAAAAAGGAAAAATATTTGGAAAAATCATTTTACAATTTCTCATATCATATTTAATTTTATCATTTATAAAATAATGATTTTCAATCAATATGTTTTCTTCAAAATAAACTTGAAAATTAAAATATATTAAAATATATTAACTAAAAATTATTTATAACTTATAAGTAAAAAATTAAATTATAATTAAAAAAAACTTATAAGTTATAAGTAAGTATTATTTATAAGATAAAATCATAAAAAAATACATTATAATTAAAATTACTTATAAATTATAACTTATAAGTTATTAGTAAAACATACTTTATCTAAATAAATTGTTTACAAAATAAAAATAATTATAAGATAAAAATTTATCAAAATTGTATTTCTTAAAAAATATTTAGAAAGAAAACGTGTATAAAAAATTAAAAATTAAAAAAGGAGCTCATGGGCCGAGCTTGAGCTCGTGAGCTCGGCTCGTCCCCACCCACGAGCCACGAGCTCGTTGGGCAACGAGCCCGAGCACGAGCCGAGCTCGTAGGGTAACGAACCGAGCCGGCTCGGCTCGACCCATTGACATCGCTACTGTTAGATCTAATAGACTGTGATTTTAGTAATGGTTGATAATCTGATTGTAAGTATTATGCCCTAAATCCAATCAACTTTGGACATAAATACTTTTATATATAATTAATACAATTAAATGGTAGATCTATTATTTAATTAATAGATAATTAAATAAATAATAGAGTCCGTAGATTCAAATATTTGTAATTTGTTAATCACAGGGAGTTGTGATTGTGAGATACAAATTACATTTGATTGAATCTTAAATCATCCGTGGTCGTAAGTAATAACGAGATACGAATATCGTTATTACGGATAGACCATCACGTGTGGTATTTCTTACTTATGAAGTAAGTAACTGATCCCACAAGTTAAAGTGTGGTGACACTTAAATGAACACGTGGATGTTTTGTTATAGAACAAAACATTGGAGACCCGTCGAGAGATTCCACATGGATAACTATCTGAGTGTCAGTGGTTAATCTCTAACGTTCGGTAGTGGAATCGGTCCTTTGACTTGAGGTTGTCATGGTGCCTTATATGAGGACAGTCATACTTTGACGATGTTGGATGTTGTTCTGAAAAGGGCCGCTAATACGACATCGTTCGGGTACGTCAAGAATCGTATGAAGGTTGTGATTGATCAATAAAGGATTCGTCACTCTTAGTTAGTAGGAGATTATGATCTGCGTTTCATTCAATTAAGTCGATGATGAAATTCTTGGCCAATGTGTACTCATAAGTCGAAAAAAGAGTTTTCGACTTATATTGACTTAATAGTGGAATGAAAGATATGATCGATGATCGAGATTGACACAATTCCATATCTTGTAATTGATCGGATCATATTGACGAAGGGATTATAGTTTCACGGTAAACGAACGAATTTGATTTTGTCATATCACGTGACATTTCCCGTCACATGTATTGCCCTGACACATTGCTAAATGTCAATCAGGGACGGCGAGTGTGAATTGACGATAAATTAAAAAGGTGTTTTAATTTATCAATTTTGATTAGATCAAAATAATATTTCACGTCGTTAGACATCGTAGTCGGGAACCTAATGGGTCGATCACAAAAGAGAATTGAAAAATTGCAAATTGCCAGTTGGTTAATTTAACAATCGTTGGATAAATTAATTAATTGGATTTGTTATTTATATTTCCGAATTAATTAATTGGATTAATTAATTCACGAGCCGAGTTTAATTAATTGGATTAATTAAATATTGGATCGGACCGGGCCGAGCCCGTTTGGATTTATATAAATACATGGCTAGAGTTTGAGGTCCATATGGTTTTCATTATTCTTGCTGGCACAAGAGAAAACCCTAGAAGTTGCAATCTTATTCTCTGTGTGGATCACCGTTGGAGGCTGGACAATTGGACAGCTGTGGTGGCGAATCAAGGTTGATGGAACGAAAGGAAAAGCAAAAGGATTGCAGAATTCTTCAAAGGTACAATCCTTATCACAATTTCTATCTAAACACAAAGGCGATTCTTGGTGGGAATCGAAAATTATTTTAAATTTCGCTGTGCATGTATAAGTAGATTCCCAACAGTGGTATCAGAGCCAGGTTTGTGTTTATTAGAAATTGTTTTGCATGTTGGAATAATTAAATGTTAATTGTTTTTTTTCCTTGTTTTAGCGATTAACGAAATAAATAATTTTTCATATTCAGAATTAGATTTTGAATAGAAATTATTTTTGGGTTGAAATCTGATTTCGTATAATGAAAAAAAAATGAAAAGGAGGTTGGATCTGCCGGCGCGGGTGGCTGCCAACGGCGTGCTCGGCGCTGCAGAAGAAAGCAGCAGCGCACGCGCGCGCTGCTGAAAAGGCCGGAAGCCGCCGCTCTCAAAGTGGCGGTTTCCAGCCGCGATGATTAAAACCGCCCCTGAAACTTGGAGAAGAGAAGGGCAAAATTTATTTTAGGGTTTCTGCTAATCAGGTGAGAAGAGTGTAGACGGGGGCTTGGGCTGCGATTTGGGAAATTGTGGGCCCTTGGCTGCAATTCTGTAAGAGGGGTCATTTTGCAATTTTATAATTGAGGGTTGCTGTGCAATTTTCAAATTTCGGGGTCCTTCTGTTAAGTTTAAATTTGGGTCAAATTGATGTTTTCAAAAGTTGTTTTAGATTTAGATATTAAAAATGGATTTAAATTTGAATTTCAAATGGATTTGTCCTATAATTTTAATTTTGGCCCAAATTAAAATTTTATTTAAAATTGACGACATTTTATATTTTCGTTAAAATTGGATTTGACTTAAATATTAAACTTTGACCCAATTGAATTTTTCTTTTATTTAGGAGTGTTATCCTATATTAAAATATTAATTCAATTTAAATTAAAGTTTGACTTTAATTTAATACTTAATTAAAATTTGATTTTAATTGGTTATTCACCCGAATATATTCTTGTAATTAGAATTGGATTCTAATTTCACATTTAATTAAAATTTGATTTTAATTAAATTCATTCGCCCTTAAATATTGGAATTAGAGTTAGACTCTAGTTTTGTCATTTAATTAATATTTGATTTTAATTAAATTCAACCGCCTTACATTTTGAAATTAGAGTTTAACTCTAATTTGATATTTAATTAAAATTTGATTTTAATTAAATTCATTCGCCCTTAAATATTGGAATTAGAGTTAGACTCTAGTTTTGTCATTTAATTAATATTTGATTTTAATTAAATTCAACCGCCTTACATTTTGAAATTAGAGTTTAACTCTAATTTGATATTTAATTAAAATTTGATTTTAATTAAATTCATTCGCCCTTAAATATTGGAATTAGAGTTAGACTCTAGTTTTGTCATTTAATTAAAATTTGATTTTAATTAAATTCAACCGCCTTACATTTTGAAATTAGAGTTTAACTCTAATTTGATATTTAATTAAGATTTGGTTTTAATTAAATAATCCCGCAATATAATTGTTGAATTAGAGTTGGACTCTAATTTGTTATTTAATTAAAATTTGATTTTAATTAAATATTCCCGCTAATTAAATATTTGATTAATATGATTAATTAATTATTTAATTATTCCGATCCATTTGTCTAAAAGAGTTTAGACGACTTAATTGCTGGAAACTTGAAACTTATTTGCATATAATATTAGATATTATATAGGTATACATTTATGTGATGAATGTATTATTAGTGGACGATTATGGACTCGACCATATGGATGTGTTGAATGATTAATTTTTATTTTTGTCGTTTTATGGGCCTGCGAGCTCTTAATTATTTTGGACCTGCGAGCCCGTTATTATTGTTATTATTTTGGACCTGCGAATCCGTTATTATTATTGTTACTATGGGCTTGCGATTCCAATTTCATTTAGGCCTGCGTGCCAATTAGTATAGGATACATGTTGGAATTGAACTAATTGAAGAGACAAGAAGAGGTGGAGACCATGGAGATGGTGCATTGACACTGTTCAATGCCATACCCCCTAGGAATTGACCAACTAGTCTTCCTTATGGCTCGGGAAGACTAGATAGTAAAAGTCCATTATCGTCCACACTATTATATTATGTTATATATATATATATATATATTTATTTATTTATTTATTTGCATAGTAGATGTATAATAATAGTATATATATGATTGTATTGTTATTGATGAGACTCATGAATGCAAAATCCCTCCATAAAATATTAAGTCACATTTGTAATCGCCTTCTATCATTATAGTGAAAAACCAAAGTCCCAAATCGTCTCAGCTTGTTGAGTACACTCAAGGCTGGTCCATTAGGGATATGTTTGACACTATGAAATATTTGATATTTCTGAATGATGGGTTTGA